TTACAATAAATCAAAAAAAAATTAGCCGGGCATGGTAGCGCGCGCCTGTAGTTCCAGCTACTTAGAAGGCTGAGGCGGAAGGATCGCCAGAGCCCAGCAGGTCGAGGCTGCAGTGGCCGGGAGCGGCCACGGCACTCCAGTCTGGGCGACAGAGTGAGACTCCAACTCAAAAAAAAAAAAAAAAAACGGGTAAGCCAGGCTCAGTGGCTCAGCCTGTAATCCCAGCACTTGGGGAGGCCGAGGCGAGTGGATTGCCTGAGCCCACGGGTTCGAGACCCACCCAGGCAACTTGGCGAGACCTCGTCTCTACATTAAATCAAAAATTTGCTGGACGTGGTAGCACATGCCTGTAGTTCCGGCTACTTGAAAAGCTGAGGTGGAAAGATCGCCCAAGATCACCCAAGCCCAGCAGGTCATTGCTGGGGTGACTGTGCACGTGTATGTCACTGCACTCCAGCCTGGGTGACAGAGTGAGACTTCAACTCAAAAAAAAAAAACACAGTTACTGGGCCTGTTCAAGACAGTCAGAGATACTGACTGTCTCCAGTGATGGGGCTAGTTTATATATTTCTATGAAGCTCTGGGGATGACTGTGGGGTGCATTCCTGGTCACAGGTCTGCATCAGGAGTGGCAGCAGATAGCAAAACGACAAGGACAGGTTCTCTGACCTTCTCTGGCCTTGCCCTCTCTTCTGTGAAATGGAGCTGAGAGCCATAGCCAAAGACTGATCGAGAGAACAGAAAGGAACTTGAAAACCACTGAGTTCAACCCCCTTGCACAGATGGAGAAACCAAGTCCGGGGTGAAGATTGGGGAGAGAAGTGACTTGCCCAAGGTCGCTCTCAGGTCATTGGCAGAGCAGGACTAGACATGAGCCACCCCCAGCTCAACGCTCTTTCTCCTACACAGATGAGGTGTGCTGAGCACTGACCTTGTGGGGACAGAAAATCCCCCTGGTTCTGGATTCAGAAGGAGATGCATGAAGTTTCCTTCTACCCCACCCCACCCCAGCCACCTCCTTTGTCAGATTCCTGTGTCAGCTTCCAGAGGTGTTCTGTGCCACACACAAATGGACATGTGTCCTTTGCCCTTTTACGTCACACTGCCTGGACCCGGGCCCAGCAACTGGCCACCTAAAAGCTAGACTCAGGAGACGAGTCAGGCAAGGGAAAAGTAGGTTTCACTCAAGAGCTAGAATCTGAGAGGACAGACCACAGTCACAGAGACCATTTTGACCTTTATTACTATTACTACTACTACTACTATTCTTGTTATTCTTATTGTTATTATTTTATAGAGACTGGGTCTCACTGTGTTACCCAGGCTGGTCTTGAACTCCTGTCCTCAAGCAGTCCTCCCACCTCAGCCTCCCAAAGTGCTGGGATTACAGGGTGAGCCACCATGCTTGGCCAGAAGGGCTATTAAAGGGAAACAAGTGCTGTTCTTCCATGGAGCCCAGGTTGCACTGGGTGTGGAGTTGCCTGCTCTCTGTTATTTCAATAAACTTGCTCTTGTTTTCCAGCTGAAAAAAATAAAGGGCCACTTGGTGTGGGAAGCATATAGCGTGGTGCAGGATGCAGGCGCCTTTTTCCCATGGCTTGTCTTGGGTGCCAGTCCCCCTAGAGGTCTGGCTGGTTGTTCTCTGCAGTCAGGACTCCATTCCTAGTCAGTTTCAAGATTAGCCTCTGGAATTCTTGAGCAAGCATCTGAGATAAGCAGGCTCTTGTTCCAAGGCCCTGGTACAAGGGAGGGTGTGGAGGAAGGGGAGAAAAGAACAAGGAAAGAGAAAGATAAAAAGGTTTTTTAAAAAAATGGGTGGGTGATAAAAAAATGTTTCAAACCAGAATTCTTGGTTGTGTCTGTACCTCATTCACCCAGTATATTTTGGAAATTACTTCACAGCAGAGGGGAAGAGTGTCTTCTTTTCTCCTCTCAAGATCTCTCTTCTTTCTTTCCTTTTTTTTTCTTTCCACAACACTTTTTTAAGGGTTAGACTTATCCTTCTAAAATAAGGGAACCCTTCACTAACCTCTGATAGGTTCTTATCTAATTTTGCCAAATCCTTCCTCATCTCCCTACTTCTGTGAAGCCAGCTTTCAGTGGCTGTGATTTCTGCACCTCCTATAAATAGGTGTTACAGCTGCAGGCCAAACTGCAGCTAATGCCTGTGGCATTGGCCAGTCGAACTCATAATGTGGAGATTTTGGAGTTCGTTTATTTGTTGTTGTGTTGTTTTTTGTTTGTTTGGTTTTTTGAGTTGGAGACTCACTCTGTCGCCCAGACTGGAGTGCAGTGGCCGCTCCCAGCCACCACAGCCTCGAACCTGCTGGGCTCCGGCGATCCTTCCGCCTCAGCCTTCCGCGTAGCTGGAATTACAGGCATGCGCTACCACGACCGGTACCACGACCGGCTGATTTTTTGATTTATTGTAGAGATGAGGTCTCGCTGCCCAGGCGGGTCTCGAACCCGCGGGCTCAGGCAGTCCACTCACCTCAGCCTCCCAAAGGCGTGGGATTACAGGCTGAGCCACCGAACCCGGCTTGTTGTTTTGAATTGGAGACTCACTCTGTCACCCAGGCTGGAATGCAATGGCACACTCACGGCCACTACAGCCTCGACCTGCTGGGCTTAGGGAATCCTTTCACCTCAGCCTTCTAAGTAGTTGAAACCATAGGCTTGCGCCACCATGCCTAGCTAATTTTTTATTTATTGTAGAGAGACAAGGTCTTGCCATGTTGCCCAGGCTGGTCTTGAACCCGTGGGCTCAGGGAATCCAATCGTCTCAGCCTCCCAAAGTACTGGGATTATAGGTATGAGCCATCACACCCGGCTGGGTTTTTTTTTTTTTTTTTTTGTCAGAGTCTCATTCTGTCACCCAACCTGGAGTGCAGTGGGGCGATCACACTGCAACCTCAACCTCCTAGACTCAGATGATCCTTCCTTCTCAGCCTGCTGAGCAGCTGAAACTACAGGTGTGCACCCCCACACCCAGCTTGCTTATTTATTTTATTTTATTTATTTATTTATTTATTTATTTATTTTGTAGACATGAAGTCTCACTGTGCTGGCCAGGCTGGTCTTGAACTCCTGGGCCCAAGTGATCCTCCCACCTCAGTCTTCCTAAGTGCTGAGGTTACAGGCTGAGCCACCGCACCTAGTCTCATAATGGTGCTTTTTGTTTTTTTGGGTTTTTTTGTTTTTTTGAGTTGGAGTCTCACTCTGTCGCCTAGACTGGAGTGCAGTGGCTGCTCCCGGCCACCGCAGCCTCGACCTGCTGGGTTCTGGCAATCCTTCCACCTCAGCCTTCCAAGTAGCTGGAACTACCGCGCCCAGCTAATTTTTGATTTTTTGTAGAGATAAGGTCTCACCAAGTTGCCCAGGTGGGTCTCAAACCCACGGGCTCAGGCAATCCACTTACCTCAGCCTCCCAAAGGCGTGGGATTACAGGCTGAGCCACCAAGCCTGGCTGTAATGGTGTTTTTTGAAACGGCTAATGGAGAGGGTTTTCATCGACATACCTTAGAGAGCCTGTATGTGCTGACTTCTGCTGCTGCTGCTGCTAACTTAGTAACATTGGTCATAATGTAAAAGATTTAGAGAAGTCTGCCGATTTTGACACTGGACTATAGTTGTGAAAAAGAACACGGCGGCCGGGCCTGTCTGCTGCCAGAGTGAGCCTAACCAGAAGGAATGCAGCAGGGCCAGGCCAGCCAGGGAGCTGACCAGCACAGAACTGGGAGACCAGAGGAAGCTCTCAGCCCAAGGCCCTGGGTGCTGAGGCTTTGATTCGCATTCACCTGATTTGACTCTGAGCCTGCTGGGGAGGTTTTGCCCAAGGCTCTGGGGTTTTCCCACTCAGTTCCAGCCACCTCTGGTGTTGATTCTTTTCTCTTCTTTCAAGGGTCTGAATCCAGGGAAAGCTATTGCTGAGATCAAGAAAATGATGGCCACCTATAAGGAGAAGAGAGCTTCTGCATAACCGATCCATGCTACACGTGACTTGTGACCAGTTCAGAGCTGAAAATAATTTCTGTCTAATTTGAGCTCCTTCTAAGGTCATGATTTTCCATGAATACAGCATGTAAAATAAGAATGTTAAGAAATAAATAAACGCTACTCTACTTTATTAACAAAAAGGCAAGCGTGTTCCTTTACATGCTGCAGGGACTGTGAACATGCCAGGAGTCCTTGTCCTTAAGAGATGGACAGGGCTCCTGAGTGTGCGGTGAGTACTGCATGCCACTGGTAGGGAGCAGGCCTGCAACCAGCCTGGCCACCCAGCAGGTGGACGCCTGGACAAGTATCTTCACCTCTCACCACTCCATTTGCCCATTCTGTAAGATGGGATCTATAACTGTGCCCGCCCCACCCACATGGCCTGAGAGTGCCTGCACTTATTCTGAGTGCCAGGAGTAGCATTTACTGAGTGCTTGGTAAATGTTTATTCTACAGTCTCCCAGTCTTTACAGTTTTCCATATTAGAATTTGCAAGGCAAGGTTTCAGATTCTTGCAGCACAGAGCGATGACCCCGATCAGCTGTGAGCTCCAGGTAGTCACCAGATGACCTCCAGGGACCTCTCACTGCAGAGGGAACTCCCCACCACTGTGCCTGACTCTGCCACTTAGGACACAGAGTGGCAACACTCCCAGCAAAAACAATGCAAGCACGGGAGAAAGCAAACTGTACAGTTCCCCTCAAGTCTCACAGCCCCTGTTGACGGTCTAGACATTTTCTTCCAAACCTTATATTATCACAAATGTGTGGCATATGTAGAAAACTTGCTGAAGGAATATCCTGAGAAAACAAACTTCAGGGGGGCCTGAAAAAAAAAAAAGAAAAAGCTTGCTGCCTTCAAAAATAGGACACCAGAATGGGCACATGGTTCACGCCAAGAGTCCCAGCACTTGGGAAGGCCACGGTGGGAGGATCTGGGTACCAGGGAAGGTCTAAGGAGGATGGGTAGTTTCTGTGTCCTTAGTCTGGTCACAGTGTTCCTTTGAGTCCTACAAAACATCTCGAGTGTGCATACCCTCTTTCCCAGTTAGTCTCCACCACCGCATACTTGCTGTTCCTATGTTATCTTTTCAGTGTTTCAAAATTATTCCAGCCTGCTGCAGGCATGGACAAGGGCTCCGTAAACAGAAATGGAGTTAGTTATGTGCATCCTTCCACTGTCTCACTGTAACAGTACCACATAGTCTGCTAGCCACTTTGTATTCAGCCAAACCCAGTTCCTATACTCACTACCCAGAAAAACCAAACTGGTGCAGCCATTACAATGGAGAAACAGTTTAATATGGCAAAGCAGCTGAGTAAGGAGGGCAGGAGAAATCTCTCAAATCTGCCTTCTCCAGAATTCAGAGAACAGAGGTGTTTTCATTTATTTATTTTCAGTCGGAGTCTCAGTGCGGCCCAGGTCACAGTCCTGAGGTGTTACAGTGCCTTTGAGATGCAGTGGGCCGGATGCGGTGGCTCACGCCTGTCATCCCAGCACTTTGGGGGTTCGAGACCAGCCTGGGCAACTAGGTGAGACCTCGTCTCTACAATAAAAAAAAAATTAAAGAAAAAACTAGCCAGGCGTGGTGGCACAAGCCTGTGGTTCCAGCTACTTGGAAGGCTTAGGCAGAAGGACCACCTAAGCCCAGCAGGCTGACGCTATGGTCGCCGTGAGTGTGCTACCACACTCCAGCCTGGATGACAGAGTGAGACTCCAACTCAAAAAAAAAAAAAAGACAGTGGAAAATTAAGACTCCAGGGACTTCTGCGCCAGGGGAAGGTCACACTCCTTGGATTCTGAGATAATCTGACTTTGCTTTTCTAATCTCTGGATCTGCAGGAAGCATGGGCTTTTCTCATGAATAACTTCAGGACTTGCAGAGACGGATTTCCCCAGCTACTGATGTAAGGGCCAGGGTAGCTTGGGAGTTGCTGCTTCAAATCAGCATCTCCAGAGGTCAGGCTTATGCCTGTAGGCCACTCTCGCCCCAAGGGAACTCGAGCTACATTGGCATATGATATCAACTGGTAGTTTAATTTACTGCTTATTTAATCTTTCACTGGAGGGGTGGCAACCGTTCTATTTCAACAGTCACAAAGACTTCTTTTTTTTTTTTTGAGTTGGAGTCTCACTCTGTCGCCCAGACTGGAGTGCAG